CCCAAGCTATTATAATATAACTTACCATTATCATTTCATAATCAAAACATAGTAGTCTCAAAAGAAACCATCAACAAAACAACAAGAAAGCCGACTGAATGGAAGAATATATATTTGTCAATGTTATATCCAAGAAGGGCCTAATTTCCAAAAATTATAGGGAATTCATACATCTTAACAAAAGAAAGATAAACAAGCCAATCAAAAAATAGGCAAAGGACTTAAACAGACACTTTTTGAAAGTGGACAAACAGAAGTCCAAGAGACATATGAAAACATGCTCAAATTCACATCATCTGAGAGATGCAAATCAAAACAACAATGAGATACCATCTCATACCTGTCAGAATGGCTGTCATCAACAAATCAACAAACAACAAGTGCTGGCAAGGATGTTTTTATAACCAAAGGAACCCTCTTGCACTGCTGATGGAAATGCAGAATGGTGTAGCCACTCTGGACAACAGTATGGAATTTCCTCTAAGAAAATTAAAAATGGAACTCTCATTTGACTAGGTAATCCCAAGAAGTCAGAAACACTAATCAAAAAGGATATATGAACCCCTATCTTCATAGCAGCACAATATACAATAGCTAAGATTTGGAAACATCCTAAGTGCCCATCAGCAGATATGTGGTACATCTACACAATGGAATACTATACTGCTATAAAAAAGAAAGAACTCTTACCATTTACAACAGCATGGATGGACATCGAAAGCTAAGCAAAATAAGCCAGTCAGAGAAAGATAAGTATCACATAATCTCACTCATTTGTGGAATATAATGAACAACATAAGCTGATGAACAAAAATAGATCCAGAGACAGAGAAACATCAAACTTCAGAGGGAAGGCAGGAGAGGGGGGGATGTGGGGGAAGAGATCAACCTAAGGACTTATATGCATGAATATTAGTATAAGCATAATCAATGGACACAGACAGTAGGGGGGTGAGGGCATGTGCTGGGGGGGGCGGGGAGAGTGGCCGGAGATAGATCCATAGGGGGAAAAAATGAGATATATGTAATAGTATATATAATACTTTAAACAATAAAGAATTTATCATGTGTGTTTCCACTGCAGTTCTTAGTACCCTGTCTTGTTCAAAATAGGCATTCAGAAACATGTATTGATTTGAAAGACTCATTTTAGGGTTTTTTTTTTAGGACATTTCTTATAGACACTAGGCTGCATCTCTAAAGATGCTCCCTAACATTTTTAATTCGTCAGCAGATAATAACTTTGGGAATTATAGCCAAAGTGCTAGTTCCGTGTTTTTTCTTTCCAACAGTAAATAATTTATTTAAATTGTATTAATTGAGCTATGAATTAATAACTAATTTAACCTAATTTAAAGTTATGCTTCACTGAATTATCACAAAATTTTAAAAGGCATAATTTCCTTTTTTCTGTGCTTCTACACTTTACCCACAGTATTTTTTTAATTTCTTTTTTTTTTCTTCATCATACTATTAAAGACGAAATGGCATAATCACAAGATTTTTTTTTGTGAGATCATAAGGAAATTTATATAACATTGAATAAGTCACTATCAAGGTCAAAATAAATTAAAAATATTTTAAATGTAAAAAGTTAAAATGCTATTATTTAAAAAATTTTCAGCTTCCAATTTGAGATACACCATGTTTAAAAAACTGTCAGATTACATATTTCTCAAACTCTGTTACTTTTACTCAATAAAGTAATATTTATGATATTCAGAAATTATCTCTTGTTTTGATTTGTGCCAAAACTCAATATAAAGGGAGCTGGATGACATCCCCTTATTATCATTATTTTTATGATATTTATTAAAAATTTATTACTTGGGAAGATGGAATTGTCTCTTGAGACACATTATATGAATGTGGTAGAAATTATTAAATTTATGCATGAGATCTGTTTGTCTTATCTCTTAGAGAAATCATTATTATGTCAAAATGCCCTGAGGTGCATGATCCTTTTTACTATATTAATATGTGAATTATTCCTTTTCATTAAGATACTTCAGTTGAAGACAAATGTAAATGAAATTCTTTGTTGATGCATTTAATAATGTAAAAGAAAAAGAGTTTGGAGAGAAGTCAGAATTTCTTGACTTAATTTTACTCATTTAATAAAATATACTAAATAGACAGGTACTTATTTTTTTTAATTATTCCAGAAATATCTTCATGTTATAGATATAAATGACTCCCAGCTTGAATTTATTGTCCAATGTATCATTATTCTGAAAATGCAACTTACAAACAAAATCAGACAATTAATATGTTGACACATCATTTTAAAGTGTGTCCCAGAGAACACTACTTAAAATATTCACTGCTACTGCATACACATGTTATAAAGCACTATATTGGTAAAGAGTTTAACGAACACTAAATTAACCTCCAGTGGGTTACATAGCCTTCAGCATGTTAGAATACAGTATGAGTCTCCATGGGGAAATATACTGCCTAGTGAATTCCCTACACAGAGTTTCAGAAATGTTCTTGAGAATAGACTATAGCATCTCTTTGTGAGGAAGCTGGAAAATCAGAGTTCCAAGAGGCATATTTTGGGAGACACATGATACAATGGTTATTCAAGCCTGACCAGAAAAACACAAAAGATCCATTTAGCATGAACACTAATCATTGTAGAATCAACAAAACTGAAAAGTGTTGTTACAAAATAGCCCCTTCCCTCCTCCACGACCTCAAGAAAATGACTTTTCATATAATCTGGTTTTGCAGAATCAAATACTCAACACAATTGAGATTGGCATCGGTAAATTTAGAACATTTTGAATGATTTGAGAGTCATAATATTATTTTTTAATTATCAATTGATAAATGGATGTAAAAGGGAAACCTTCAATTGCCAAGCACCCAGAAATCTACTTTTAATCACCAAAGAGCAACAAATTAAGGGCAAAAAGTCAATAGCTAAAGGTAGCAATTCACAAGGTACAATCAACATTGCATATGTACTAAAGAAACCTAATTTATTTTTCTCTATATCTTTGGGTAGAATGAACTGATGATTTTTTTTAAACCTACTGACCACTGATTTTCTTACTTGCTACAAATCTTACATTCAAAAGTTTTTTACAAACAAAGCTTGTTTTTATACTAGAACATTGTTCATGATAATCACCTTCATAAATACCTTCTAAATTTAAACAAGATGCATATTATAATTCAACAATATTATAATACTGAACTTCAATGCATTCCCTCCCTGCGTAGAACCATCCCTTCTCAGTGCAGATCAGATGTCCTCCTGATCTGTCCCACTTTTTCTCCAATCTTCTGGAAGTTAATCAGAGGCTAGTCATGGGCCTCTAATCCCAAGAATGTTCATAAATTTGGTGCTACTTTCTCCAAGGAAGGATTCTCACTTCTAGAATAATAGCTGTGCTTCAGGTAAAGTCAGGCATGCAGAAAGTCTGACCTTTGAAATGTATATACCTACATCAAATCACTTCAAATAACAAGAGATCACTTCCACTTTTGTTCTCTTGCCCCAAGTCCACTATGTTTACTTGCAAAACTTCTTGTAAAACATTGCAAGGAAGATCTAGGTCAAATTTCACACTAACATACAGCAACTCTTTATTTATATACTTACTGTCTATCTGGTCCCCTACATGTTTTATTATTATTAAGCAAGTCTTTATGGTGAGCATATCGGAAATGTTCTTTTACTTTGAAATGCATTTCGGCGTTCTCTTTCTTTATTAGTAAACTTTGGGTATTTTCTCTCAAAGAAAGTCGAGCGGAAACATATTGCAAATCACAGGCTCAGTCTAGGAATTTCACATACATCATAGTTTTTAATCCTCAAACAGCCTTCAAATTAGGTATTATTGTTCCCTCACAAGTACATTAACTTAGACTCAGAAAGCTTAAAGGAAGCCTCAAAGTCCTACATTTAGAAGCTGGATGTAAGAATTCTCACCCACTCCTTTCTGACTTAAAACCCCTCATTAGTTCTACAATAATATCTGGCTTTTAAAAACAGTCAAAAAGCAAAATAGTCTATGGCCATTATATGTTTAGACAACCATGTGGAATAAAGATCCACAATTGATATTCAAAATTATGACCTAAATCCTTTAAGTGAAGGTTACATTTTAATCTAATATATTTCTTCAAGACCTTAAAGTTCTAATATACTTTAAGAGTTTTAACTCAATACGGTTATTCTTTTCATAAGTCAAGTATTAATATCATTAATAGTGAATAAATCTCAACCTCAGGCATCCAGAACAATACATTCTCATCAGTTTAAGAAACCATGGTTTTATAATCAATATGGTTTTACTTTTTGCTATTTGTATGACTATCAATATTAGCCAGTACTATTGTTCTACCATTAACAGTAAATCTACAAATATAATTAGCCTCCTATGTCCACCAGGTGAACCATGATTCTGCTCAAAGTTATAGCATATTTGTCTGAGCAAATATAGTTGACCACAATAGTTCATTGACATTTAATTTTTTAGCATCAAAGTAAAGTTACTCCTATAACTTTTAGGGCAAATAATAACAACTTTCTGTTAACTTTATCCTTACATTAGAAATTCATTAACTTATTCCATAAAACATCAAAATATTCTATAATAATGATATATTTTCCTTGATATACATTTCTAGTATTTCCAGGAGAAATTATACTATTTTGGGGGGAAATATATTTGCTAAGCTTTATGTCCACAAATAATTTTCCAGTATTGACACAATCACAATAAGGGCTCAAAATAAATTTAGATGGAGGTAAAGAACATCATTTATCTAAACAACGTTGCCCATATTCTAATAATGAAAAATTTTTAATAACTTTAATACATTATTTTTTCTAAAGCCCATGGAATTCTCCACTTTAAGGTTGTTGGCCATAAAAACATAAAAAAACAGATTGGCTAACACAACTTTTCCAATCGGTGGCAGCTGCTTCTTCACTCTGACAATTATGTTATAAATCTGTACAGGCTAAATCTCACAGATCTTACCGTCAATTTCTCCTCTAAATTCTCATTTAACACGCTTCCTTTTTCATGTTTTTCAAATTCCATGATGATTAGGAGAGAGAGAGAAACAGAAAAAGAGAGATTCAGATTCGGTCTAGAAAATGATGTGACGTGCTTACATGTTAGATATTGCAGGACACTCCAAGTTGTGAAAGCCCAGGACACTATCAGGAAGCCCTGGCGATAATTTCAGGTTAGCTAGTGTTTCCATTTATAGATGTCCAAGCCCCATAAACAGAGCACTGAAGAGGAGTCAGGCAGCTGGCCTTAGATAAAGATAAATGTCACTAGATATAAAAGCAAACTCTTCAACAGGAGAATATTCCAACAGGTTAGGTTCTCTGAATGAAAGAAGATGTGTGTGACAAATAGCCCCTGTCAAAGAATTCATTAACAGCCTTTGGAGCAGAATACAATACGCTTTAGAATACAGGCCTAATAAATCAGCGGTAAAGGACTAATGTGATAGTCATATAGCAACTATGAGTCAGCCAGTCTTAGTCTCTCAAATTTCAATTTTTGTCCTGATAGTCCAGGCATTTATGTATTATTTGGTAGCTCAAAACTTATAAAAGTCAATTAAAGGGGAAGAGCAAAGGAGAAGTAATTATAAGTTTTAAGACCCACAACACACATATTCAAAGGGTGTTGCCAATTCTGGTCCATAAAAATTTGGCAAATGATGTTGAGAAACATCATAAAATAACAGTCATGTTTCTTTTCACAAAAACTGATTTTGTTCTGGATTTTCTACCGGAAACAAAGTTATGAGATAAGAGATGAAATTTATATCTCAAATTGAAAAAATGTTTTCAGAATTCTTTAGAAAGTGTTGCATGACATAAAGAAAAATGAATTATGTAGCTTGCTGGTAATTAACTCTCCCTGTTGTTTTACAGCAATCCAGATATGTGGAGGGCAATAAAAAATAAAAAGATGTTTAGAGTCAGCTAAGACTGATCTCTCTGTTGGCTTAATCCCTCAGCCTGCTTAAAATGTCCTCTTAACATCTATTTCTGACCTTAACTCAGATGTCCTATCAGTGTTTTCTTTATTTCTTAAGAAAACACTTTAGGTAATGTGCTGTAAAGCTCTGTCTTTTAGTGTGATTGCAGCTGGTCCTCTGTGGCCAGGCAGGGCTGCTAAGGCCTACTCCACATCATGATGGAAGGGCTGAGGATTTCAAAAGTAGACATATAACAGGCCTAACTAGTCCTGCTTTAGCATAATTCAAAAACCCTATATTATATATTCATGGGCAAAAGGAACTCCCCTCTTTGGCTCAACTCTGAATTCCAGAAAGGGACTCATACATGCTAGCTGTTGCCCTAAAAAGTTTGAAAATTTAAGTCTTCTAGGTTTATCAGAGTGCAAGTCTGGCCTGTGTCAAAAGCAAGGTAATTGAAATTGTATGTGAATGGAACCTCTGAAATCTCTCTGGGGGGACAAGGGGAAGCACAGTAGAAATGCAAAAAGAAAACTCAATTCTGGCTAGTTTCATGCCCAAAAGGGGAATTCAGGATCTAGTTAGGAATAGAGGGATAATGGAGATGAAGAGAATAGGGATAATGGGAGGCCTGTGCCAGTGGCAGTGGGAGAGTTTAAAGTTTTGATTCAACAAACATGCACAGAGTACCTATAGCCAGTGGAGATTATCCTAGTTGCTGCAGATTTTTTTAAATAATAAATAAAAATTAAAAAGATACAGTGTCTACATTTCTTTCCTTAAATAATGTAGGCATGGCAAGATAGAAGCAGGGTAGTAACACTCGTATACAGCACCTTTCCACAGCATTCACCAGGTGCCAGAAACTGCTTCAAGCCTTTCCATATATTATTTCAATTAATTCTCAGAACTACTCTAGACAGTAGATACTATTATTTTCTCCATTGTTAAAGGCCCAATTATCTCTCCCACAAAAAAAAATTGTGTTGAAGTCCTAACCCCCAATATTTCAGAATAAGACTATAGTTGAAGATAGGGTCTTTAAAGAGGTAATTAAGATAAAATGAAGTTATTAAGGTGGGCCTTGATCCAGTATAACTGGTGTCCTTATAAGATATCAGACCATCAAATCTCAGAGGGAAGGTAGAGGAGGATGGGAGTAAGGAGGAGAGATGATCAACCAAAAGACTTGCATGCATTCATTTAAGCCTAACCAATGGACACAGACAACAGGGGGGTGAGGGCATGAGTGGTGGGGACAGAGGGGAAGGGAGGTAATGGGGAAATAAGGAAGCATATGTAACACTTTAATCAAAAAAAAAAATTTAAAGTAGGAATATAGAAAAAGAGAGACTAGAACAAAGATACACATAGAGGGAAGACATTGGGAGAAGATAATCATCTACAAGCCAAGGAGAGCAACCTTCACAGAAAACAACCCTGACAACACCTTGATCTTAAATTTTCAGCTTCCAGAACTGTGAGGAAATGCATTTCTGTTAAGTCTATGGTATAGGTTATCATCGCCCTAGCAAACTGATGTGCCCATTTTAGAGTTAAAAAATTAGACACAGTTACACAACTAACAGGTGGCAGTCAAACCCCAGCCCAAGCTCCTAGCCACTGTGCACATTAGTGCCTCTGATCAAACAGTTCCCTCATAGGCATAAGAGAGGGTAGGGAACAGACCAGCATGCGTGGTAACTGCTATCTACTCCATTGTTTTAGAGATATGTTTAACATATGTTAGGTATATTTTAAAACAAGAGTTTCCTTGTTTTAAACTGCGTTTACCTACACTCCCAGAGGTTTTGGTCAAGAAGGCAGTGTAGGTAAATGCAGTTCTCAGAACCTCCCAAAACCACATCAAAATTACAACTGAAGGACATAACAAGCATCATTCAGAACTGCCTGAAATCTAGCTGAACAGATTAACAAAATACAAAAAAAAAAAAAAAAAAAAAAAAAAAAAAATCAAGATGACAGCTCAATAGCCATACTGTGGAGTTAAATATCCTATGTAATAAAAGCCCAGCAATCAAACAGCAGAATGACTGGTTGACCAGTTGCTATGATGCACACTGACCAACAGGAGACAGACACTCAATGCAGGACCTACCCCATGGTGGTTAGTGCACTACCATAGTCTGACCAGGATGAGTGGTTGCTCCCACTGAGAAATCTGGGCCAACGGGCAGGAACCCAGGCTGCCATTGGTCACCTCCTCACCCCAGGCTCCTCCTCCTCACTCTCTGCTGCCTCCTCCGATGCTCGCAGACCATGCAGTGCCATCACCAGATTCACAGAGCTAACACCAGAGTCTGGGAGGTGGGTTCATGACTCCTATGGGACTGAGGCCTACTCCACCACCTGTTAGTGCTATTGTCTCTGGGGCAGGCCCCAACTGGATCCCTTGGAGAGGCTAGTGTTCCAGCTCCACAAAAAATGTTGGGCCAGGGAGCAGCCACTCAGAGGATGGGTCCACAGCCACTTGGCTGACCAGGATGAGTAGAGTTCTGATCTCCACAAGCCGTACCCCCCACCAGTGCACAAATCCCGTGCACTCGGCCTTTAATCTGATATTAAAAAGTTTTGATAAAATATTGGAAAGTGAAGAAAGATTGAGTATCTTCGCTGACAGAACAGATGATCTCCAAAGAACTGCCAAAGACTCCTTAAAAAACAAGAAAGATTCTTAAGAGGGTATGGTGGAAACATTTAAAAAGATTATAATCATCACCATGGCAATTTTTCTTTCATTTGTTTAAGTATAAATTTAAAACAACCTGACCCTTCTTCTCTCCACCCCCAATAGGTACCAATAAATTGTCATATGTAAAAAAAAAAAAAAAATAGCCGAGACCGGTTTGGCTCAATGGATAGAGCATCGGCTTGGAGACTGAAGGGTCCGGGGTTCGATTCCAGTCAAGGGCATGTACCTTCGTTGCGGGCATATCCCCAGTAGGGGGTGTGCAAGAGGCAGCTGATCGATGACTCTCTCTCATCGATGTTTCTAACTATCTCTCTCCCTTCCTCTCTGTACAAAATCAATAAAATATATATTTTAAAAAATAAAATATATATATCCATACAAAAGCTAGTTCTTATTCACTTGCTGGTCAAGCAGAAGAGACTGAGTCCCACTGGTCCCTTCTCTGTTAATCAATCACAACAAACCTGGTCCTCTGACTATTGTGCTCTCTCCCCACAATGTCATATGACCCCTTCTCACTTCATCCAGCTCTCCCCCAATGACCCTATCTAAAATAGCAAACCTTCGTCCATTTATTTGCTCTTGTCGCCTTCATAGCTCGTATCGCCTCTGGTATTTTATTATTTCACATGATGATTCAAGTTTATCCATTATCTACTTATTTGCAATTCATGTCTCCTACTTGAGTATAAGCACCAGAGGGTGCTTTATTCATCACTTTATCCAGGCACTAAAAACATATTATAAGCACTAATAAATTCATGTAAAGGAAAGAGGGCAAGAGGAAGAGAAAGGAAAGAATGAAAGAGAGAGGAAGGAAAAGAGGGTGAGATAGGAGGGAATTGTATCAAATGGACATTACAAGACATTTGATACATTATTTTTTATAAAACTTTGGTAATAAATAGAAAAATAAAATGTATATTTATAAGATACAAATCATACTATAGATTAATAGAATGTTATTTGTTCAGTTATCTTAAATAACTATTAGAGGAGAAATAAATAAATAGACTTAGACAGCAGGAAGAACTGGATTCATTTGCAGATTCTACCACTTTCTAGTTTTGTCACTTTGAGCAAATTAATTCTGAATTTCAGTTCCCTTTCCCTTAATTAAAGGTATGATACCAACCTCTTAATGTTGTCACTAATGATGGTACAAGGAACTTAACCTAGTGTCTAGCTTCAGGAAGGTTCTCAGTAAAAGTATTTGCCATTATTTTCCTGGGCTATGTGAAGTTCACCTAGAAAAAATATATACCATATATACCATCAAAGTCTTAAAAAATGTGTCACATAAATTAACAGAGAAAATGGGATAATTTGCAAATCATTTTTCTGGAGAGATGTACCCAGAATATATATTTAAAAAAATCTTATAAC